GTTCTAGCTAATTTTGCTCCTCGGTTTTACTCCTCGCTTTAACGTTTACTGAGCGGTCGGTTAACGCAAAGCGATCTGCTGCCAAATCAACAATATCTGGAGTGTTACTAAGTTTGTTCTCAACGCCCAAGCTACATACGCTGATAGCGTGGAGATATACGGGGATAAAATAAATAGAACATATAATATTTGATTTATCCAAAGACAGAGCAATACTTGTATTTTCAATTGGTCTTTCGCTAATATTGAATAACTGTTTTTTTTTTTTTTTTTTTAAATATTTTACAAATTTTTTCTTTAACGAAGTAAAACTTGCGATCTTTACAGCTTCACTGTTTTTTTATGGGATCATAATAATGTTGTCCATTACTCGAATTAAAATCGTGCTACGTTTGGCAGGTTTGTACAGTTCAGTTCCATTTTCTCTGTGTTTCTAAATCCGTCAGTTGAAGAATTCTAGATCCGGAAGCAGTAATAGCTAGTTGTCTTTACAATCGGCGTCATTGAGCCCTCCTCTATCAAATATTGAAAACTTTGTTGTGGTAGAGTGGCTGGTGCGGAGTTTGGGGGTTAGGGTGCTGGTTGGAAAAAGGGGGGGGGGGGGGGTTGTTGCCAGCACAATAGGATGTTTCAGAAGGTCAGAAAGAAACAACCTTAAGGTGAATATTTTGACCTTTTCATTTCTGGAGACATTCTGTGGGGTGAGCTCACCCGGGTCATGACTCCTACAGTGTGTTTCTTAAATTGATGCCCATGTTCAAACAATTATATCTCAGCTGTAGTGGAAAATAAATAGATGAAATTATATATTAATATTTTCTTCATTCTCAACGCTATGTCGGATTTTAAACACCCCCCCCCCCCCCCCCCCCCCCATAGCAAGTAATTAGGAGACAGACTGTAGGAATACCATGCGGCAAATTCACTGAGAAACAGAAGATCAAAAAAGTTTCGGTCATTTAGTAAAAATGCAGCCAGAACAACTACCAAGGAAGGCGGTACACGTGAAAAGATCTGAAGTGAAAGCAAGAGGCCGCCTTCGGAGGATGTAGTGATTGATGTCATTAAAGAGCTTTTGTCAAGCAATGGATCTCAAACTATTCCTCCCCACA